CCCCCCCCCCCCGAGCATGATCGCAGTCGCGCTCATGCAGGGAAGACGGGGCGATCATCACCCGATGCGGCGTTTGCAACCTGAGGCAATTTTTTTCCGAAATTTGGTCGTGACCCAACTTGGTCGTGAACTGAGGCGTTCGTGAGCTGAGGTACCACTGTAGATATACACTTAATAGCTGGGAAGTAAACAGAGAGGGGAATTTGCACAAATTAAAGGACTGGAAAGTAAACAGAAGAGAAATTTCCTCACCTGCATTAACTGCTCCATTACGGCATGCATGTAAATTTCCCCTCCGTTTACTTCTCAGCCATTAAATTTACATACAGGTTTTTCGAACTGTCAAGGACTGCAGCAGTCAGTGCTCTGAGAAGGAACGGTAAAAAGCAGAGGGCACAATCTCTCTCCTCGAGTAACTGGAGAGTCCTCAAATGCTGGCAGACTGAGAACTGTCCATTCAACACTGAAAACTGAGCGAGTTGCATTGCTAAGTGAGTTACACTGACCCTACCCCTGTGGCGCACCTGCTTTCGCTGCTTTCCCCGCTTTACTGGTGTGTTTTGTTTGTCAGCTACGCAGTTAGTTGCTGCTAGCTGTGTGCCAATTATTGCATGTGCAATCTTGCCTTCCCAGTTTGTTGCCCCCCGTGCAGTGCCACTCCCTTTGACAGCTGAAACGTAAAAGAACAGCAGCAAAAAAGCAAGGCTACACATATCTGCTATCTGTAAAATGATTGTTTTAAAAACCCGCAGTTTTGTGGTACCAAAAACAATGAAAAGGGGGTGCCAAAGCTGTAACAGTCGCTCTCTCCAAAGCAAGTGCCACTTGGCCTTCAGGTGTGGGGCTGCCACTGGCCGTGGCCCAGGCAGACTCCTGCAGAGCACGGAATGGCTTGTCAGCCAGTCTCCACAGCCCTCAGAGAAATTCCTCTCCTGGTCTGGGGCAGCACGACCACCTATCATGGCTCAAGCAGCTCCTAGAACAAGTCAGGGGTTGCCAGATGGCCTGTTACCGAAAAAGAAGCCACCCTGCAAGAAGCTGGCTGGATTCGGACAACATGGCAGCACACCCTGACAAATTAACCATGACGTGGAGCCCACCTGGGTCTGCCGCTGGTGTGCTCACATCCTCCCTGTGGGTTTGCCACCAGCGGCTGGTTGGCTGCTGCATGGACAGAATGCTGGACTAGGCAAGCCTTTGGCCTGAACAAGCATAGCCCTTCCTATATTCTTACAGTTCTGGGCACCATAATCTGGGTTTGCAGACAAGCCCAGGAAGCTCATCTAAGCTTCTGCACCACACTACACATGGGCCCTGGGAGGGCTTCTGCCTCTTCACAGAGCAAGTTCGGGAGTGGGTGAGGAAGGAAGGAAGGAAGGAAGGAAGGAAAAAAGAACAAGTTGTAATTGGCAAATCTTCCCCAGAATTGTACCAAAGGAAACTGGCAATCAACATCCAATTTACATTTTCCTCCATGCAGTGGGAAATATTTAAGTTGACAAATAGGATATTTAACTGCGCAACAGATACTTGGCAGTTCGTTATTAACAACTGTTACTGGTGTGATTTATTTGCTGTTATAAAAAGGGCATTATTTTGTGAATATGATTCAGAAATTAGCTCCAGTTTAGCAAGAGGCCTTGGACTGCCTGACCTCTTAATAGCCTTATAATGACGCCATTTACCATTCAGTGGCTTATTCAAGTCACTCTGTGCACGATTTGTTTTAAAGGACTGATGTGCACAGATCAGGCGTGGGGGTGTGGATGGCTTGCTGGGGGTAGATACATTCCCAGGGTTGCCATGATCTCGGAGTTCAGGAAGGCAGATGCATGCGGCTGCCTCTTTTCTTTACAGACCTTCCCTTGTATTCCCCTTCCACCATTGGCCTGTGAGACCCACATTTTGCCCATGGAAGCCTAGCAGGAAAACGATGAGTTGATGAAGTCATGATGAAGATGCCTTCTGGAAAGTATGCTTTGTGATCCTTAGTCTCGTGGCATATGAAGCATTGGAGGCAGAGGAGGGTTACGGGTCTTGCAGATTCTCCGCCACCTGGCTTGGAGAACGGCCCCCAGCTTCCTTGCCTGACATTCCTGTTTTGCCAAGCACGTGACGCTCCACTTGGCTGTGGGCCCAAGTGAGGCTTCTTCCCCTGCCACACTGACCTTTCCCTTTCCTTTCCCTTTGACGGAGCTAGGCTGTTTATTAGCATTCTGTCGCTGGCAGCTTTAGTCTAGTTAGGCAGAGTATTTATCAGCGTTCTGTTACGTCGTGGCAGAGGGTCCATGCTCCACTGGCGCTTAGCCTGCTTGAGAGCCTGCACATTGCCAGGCTGGCCCCACCGTTGGGACCAGGTTCAGTGGAAGTTGCTGCAGTATATGCCACACCTTGGCTTCCTCCGCTGCTGTTGCTAGTCGCGAAGTCGTGTCCGCCCCATTGCGGCCCCACGGGCAACACTCCTCCAGGCCTTCCTGTCCTCCATCATCCGCTGGAGTCCACTGAAGCTCACGCCGACTGCTTCAGTTTCAGCGTTTGGCTTCCTCAGCTAAACTCCAGCAGCTGCTAGAGGCCCTCCACAAACGCATAGCCACCCAGGTGGAAGAGGACTGCTGGAACCCAGGCAGCGGCTGTGGGCATCCACCTGCCCTCTCGCATGTCTCCTGGTCCCTTTCCCTTGCATTGCCACTTCCTCATGCAGAAAGAAGTCACTGTTCACTATGTTCTTATTCCTTGGCCCATCTAACCACTTGCCCGCGTGCAAACCTGACTTTGCCCCTCTGAGAGGGCTCCAGTCGGTCTCCGACTGAAGGTTGAAGTGAGGCTGGCCTTTCTTCTCTGCTGCTTCTTGGAGCAGCTCCCTGCATCTCATCCTGTTCCCCTTTGCATCTCTGTGCAGCTGTCCTGAGTGAGCCACCAGCTCCTCTCCTGACCTGTGTTTCAGGGCTCGATGCTCAGAACACCTGCTTCCTCTCTGCTGCTTGGTCATGGCCACCTTCACGCTGACGCTCGAGCCCTCTGATTTTCCTCACCCAGTCTTCCTCCTTCCAGCTGCAGGTTTTGAGGGCGCCCATCATGTTGTGTCTTGGGCACACGTGTAATCTTGTTTCCCCAAGAATTGCTATGTCCCCCAGGTCCTGCTGTGGAATTCCTTCTCTCTGATCACCTCCTTGCTGTCTTCAGCACTTCTTAGTCTGTTCCTTTTCCTTCCCTGATTTCCTGCCACCTTGGCTTATTTTTATCTTCATTCATGTTTTGCAGAGCCAAATGCCTTTGAAGGAAACCAAAGGCTGATCGGCTTTGTTAACGCGACTTGATGTTCTCTTTCTTCTGTTCTGCAGTCAGTCTGGCTTAAGAAAATGATTCCACCTTTCTTTGCCAGGTTCCCTCTCAGCACCCTTCCTCAAGTGCCGCAGCTGACATTATCATTCATTATCGTTCAAACATGCTACCATTTTCCTTATTCTCAAGGAAGCAAAACAGAAAACAGTCCTTGAGAGGCCTTCCCCCTCTCCCTGGTGCACGAGTCCCTCTTCCCTCAGAACTGCTGGAGTGCATGCCTCGCCTTTGTGTGGCCTCCTCTGCTTCAAATTCCCCTCCAGTCTGGCCTGGCCTCCACTGAAACTGCCTTCGCAAAGGACACGCTTGACCTTTCTGGGAGTGTTCTTGGGAAACAGCATCCCTGGCACAACCGTTCTCACTTGCCTGATTTCCTTCAAGCTCCAAGCCTCTGCTGGTTCACTTCCGGCCCATCTTACCTTCTTTTGGTGTCTCCAAAGGGGAACCACTTCCTCGCTTTCCCTTTTCACTGGAATCCCTGATGCTGCTGCTCTTGATCTCTCGCCTCCTTATCCTTTGGCAGCTTCATCACAACCTTTGACTTACAGGATATATTCCTTCATCTTCCAGCTCCTTTCTGGTATTTCTGCTGGGACACTCAGTTGTCCCTCAAGTTCAATTGAGGTTAGAATTCTTAGCTTACCTCTTTCCTCCTGCCTATCCACTCTCCTTTTTCACTGATGTCACCATGCCTATTGTTGATCAGGTACTGGGGACTGAGATTCCTCCTTCATGCCTTCAAAGCCACAGACCTTTTCCTAAGAGCCTAGAAGACCCAGAATGACTCCCTGAGCATGAACAGAGTGGTCTGTTGAGCCCAATCTAGTGTTCACCTCCAGAATCCCTCCTTCCGAGCATGCCTGGACACCATCTCTTTGGGAGGGGCCTTCTGAACATGAGCATACCTCCTGGCTGCATACCTGTCCTCTCACTGGGCTGCCCTCCTCTGCTGACAGCACCTCATGGGCGCAAGAGCCAGGCCCACCTCATCCGTGTCTGAGAAACTCCCCTCCTGCCCACTGGACACCTTGGTTATTCTGTCCACCCTGGGGGGCATGGCCTTGGGGGGCATGGCCTGGGGATAAGCGCCTCTGCTTCTCTCATCTCAGCATTCCGGGATGCCCATGCTCTCAGGCCCCCTCCAGCTCCTGTCGACTTTCTCCTTCTGGTCCTGGCTCTTCGGGAGCGCAGCCGGCAGCCCTGGAGAAAGTGTGCCCAAAGCAGCCCTCTTTCCCCCTCCCAGCAAAGGCACACATTGCGGTTGCGCATGCGCATGAATTGCGCCGAGGCCTGAATTCCTGTAGCTTATTTTCAAAGTCTGATGGCCATCACAGTTTATTTCTTGTTTGCAGAAGGCTTTTGAGTGATTAAAAATATGGTTATGTTCTTAAGAAATGTATCAAAGGAGAAGCAAGTTACATAGGAAATTTTGTGCCAGTTCTAAAAATGCTGTAATGATAGATGTTGAGAAACAGTTGTGCAGTTTCAGAGCAATTGGGTCATGATTAGTGACTTCCCTGCAGTTGTTATTCCATGTAAATGTGACCATTTAAAGTTCAAAACAGCGAGATAACTGTTTCTCAGCTTAGAAGAGGGGAACTTCGTATTTCTTTACCCAAGGACTGCTCTGAAAACTGTTTACGTTTCTTTCTTTCCATCAGGTGTGGGCAATAGACCTGGATCTGCACTATAGTGATCATCTGGCGTTGACACAGGTCTTGCTTTACGTAACTAACGGGGTGCTGGATTGCAGGTTAAGCCGCTTTGAAGTGCAGCTCACTCCAAAGAAACCCAAAGGTCGCCATCCCCAGAAAGAAGAGCCCCAAGCTGTAAGTGATACCCTCTCGCTACCACTAAATGAATCGGCCTTTCCTGCAGCCCAGGGCATTGGCAAGAAGGGGTCCAGCTGCCCTGTTCTTTGTTGCGTCCGTGTGCTGAGCCACCTTGGGGCCCTCTGCGCATGCTCTCCCCTGCTGTGGCGATGGACTGTGATGCCAGCAGGCTGGTACAGGCAGGGCAAAATAGGAAAGAGTCACCTGGGCAGCATCCCAAAGGGACCGAATTTTTACTGAACCAGTGCATGCCAGTTTGTCCAGCAGTTTGGATTCTGATGTAGATTGTCTTCTACTTTAACTTATCAATCCAGTTCATTTAAATGTGTGTGGGTATTAGTAGCACCTTGTTCATTGTAGACATTTATAAATGTGCCTCCTGCACTTTTCTGTTTGTTTCCATGAGGCCTGTACAAGAGAACAGCTCTGGTGTGATGCTCTGTGCGTATTAGTAGAAGCCAGGGGCCTTGGGATATTTTTCTTCAGGCACCAAAACATCTTGAGCTGGCCCTGTGGATTTCACACTAGGGGTGGGCATTTGAAGCCTGATTAATTTCGAAGTCACCTTCAGTATTCTATTTTTAGAATACCTGTTTGTCCCAAGCCTGGAACGGCACCCTCCCACCTTTGCAAAAAAGCAGAGGCTGGAAATACCTGCAGTGAAGATTCCTGGTTTAGGAATTCCTAGCCTGGTTTAGTCCCCATCACTGTGCATCCTCTGGCGCTTTAGTCGAACATGTGGTTCACTGATCTCCAAAGCCAGGGCCTTCTCAGCTCGTCCTTGATTTCCAAATAGTCAACCAGTTCTCTGATCTCTGATGAGAGAGTAGCATAAAGTTCAGGAGGGACCACTTTGAATGCCTCCTTAAATTTCAGCATACTCCAGGAACAGTTTTGCTGTTGCCAGCATTTCAGCCCAAAACTAGATGCAGGAAGTTGGTAGCCCTGGAAAAATTAATGTAGAGATCTCTTTAAAACACTGGCTATTGCCTGTTGAACAGCTTCCATTTTAAGGCATGGTCAGAATGGTCCAGAAACCTCTCCGTGTCCATCTGCACATAGAGATGTTGAGCCATTCGAAAAAGTGCCAGAGCTTTGTAGTCTAGAGGTTAATGAGCTTCTGAGCTATTGTTCTTGTCAGACAACGAGAGGAGTAAATTGGATATGATTAGTCCCAGTAGTACGTGTTTTAGAAAGGAAAAGTAATCATGTAGCAACTTTTTAATTAAAATTCTGTCAGGATTAACGTAGATTTGTCATGTCCAGCCTGGAACCTGCCCCACCTCACCCCACCTCACCCCACGCTCCACAGTCTCTCCTGCCTGGCTTCTTGGCAGCCAGCAGTGACAGAAAGAGTGCCCGCACGTCAGAATCGTCTTTTAAAGAATCCAAAGAAATAAACGGGAGACAAATCTTTTTACAGCGCATGATCTGTAATGAATGATTAAGTAAAAACACTTTATGTGAAATTATGATGTTAATAATGCTTCTGTCTCTGCAAATTTATTACACATTCACCAGGCTGCTCGCTTTGATTTTGATAAAATGGAGCAGTGACCGAGCGCAAGCGATGATTTTTATTTTTAGCAAACTCCTTTGCAAGAGCAAATTTCCTAGATACTGCTGCTACTGTAATTATGTACAAAACCAATCACTCATTATACTTAGGATACATTATCTTCGAGACAGATGAGGCTAAATAAGCAAGACATTAATAATTCATCCGGCAGTTCATTATGCATGTGTTTGCCTGCTTTGTAGCTGAAATAAGCACCTCATCAAACTGATGCTTGCGCTTAAACAATAGTTCTGTGTTATTGCTGCTACATTCAAGTTTACGCTTGTTAAACTGCTACTTGGATTATTTTATCAAGCATTCATTTATTTTATTCGTGGCCCTCTGTTGCCAAAAAGAAATTGCCGAGAGCTTTGGATACCTGATTTCATGGTGCCTGTTCTCTGTCCTCTGACTCGCCATCCCCAACCAAGGTGGGAGACCCTTTCTGCTAACGAAGCCTCAGGGCAGGGCCACAGCCGAACGGGGGTCCGGTGTCCACGCCAGGCTCCTGTGTGCATCATTTCCCTGCCCTGTTGCACATGAGAGCGAAATGTGCATGCCGAGCAACATAGTCGGGGTGCTGAGGGATGCATGGATAGCATATGCACCCTGCAGGCCTGCAGACTGGCAGATTCGGGGGACTGGAGGTAGCTGGCCTGTCCTCACACTTCTCTTGACTTGGGTCTGAGGGTAAGACTAAAAACCTTCTGGGCTCTCTCTGCACTCTTAAAAATGATCATTTTAATTTAACAACACTTGGTTTGTACAGGAAGAAGAAGAATGCAGGCAGGTAGCACAGGATTGTAGGGAAGGCATCGGGAAGCGGAAGCTAGGAACGAACCGAGGCTAGCAAGGGATGCCAAAAGCAACAAAAAGGCGTTCTTCAGATAGGTGCCTAGTGGAAGACTGAAGAAAGACAGTGGGGTTCAGCTGCTGAACGCGAGTGGCAGAATGGTAAATGATGACAAGGAAAAGGTGGACGTGCACAATTCCTGCTTTGGCTCATTCTTCTCCCAGAAGAAGACCTTCCTGAAGGGAGGTACAAGCTGATGGAGCAGGATAGCAGCTCAAGATGGATGGGGAAATGGCCAAGGATCTGCTGATTGGGTTGGATGAGTTCAAATCTCCCGGGCTCAATGAAGTCCACCCTAGAGTCATAAAGGAGTTATCAGAAGACCTTACTTGAAGCACCACTGTCTATTTCTTTGAGAAATCTGGGGAAGTGCCGGATGAGTGGGGAAGGGGAATAGGGATGTTGTCCCCATCTTCAAGAAAGGGGAAAAAGAAGCACCTGGGAACTACAGACTAGTCAGTCTGGCATTAATCCCTGTGAAAATTCTGGAGCAGTTTATAAGGCAGTCAGTCTGCAAAAACCTTGAAAACAATGCAGTGATGGCTAGAAGCCAGCATGGATTCCTCAAGAACAAATCCTGCTAAACTACTCTGATTTCATTCTTTGATTGGGTGACCTCCCTGATGGACTGTGGGAATGTTGTGGGCATCACCTGTCTTCGCTTTAGCAAAGATTTTCACAAAGTGCCCCATGATATCCTGATTAGCAAACTAGCTAAAAGTGAGCTAGCTGGAACAATGATCAGGTGGATTCACAGCTGGCTGCAGAAATGGACTCAAAAATTGTTCATCAATGCCATCTTCTTAAACTGAGGAGAGGTAGCGAGAGAGCTAGTGCATGGTTGAGTCCTGAGCCCAGAGCTCTCCAAAATTTTCATTAATGACTTGGATGTGGAAGTGCAGGAAACAATTCTCAGATGACCCAAAGCTTGGTGGGAGAGCTAATATCCTGGAAGACAGAAATAAGATTCAAGCTTGTCTTGATAGGTTGGTGCACCAGAGTTGAAGAAAGATGCAGACAAGCTGGAAGAGATTCAGAGCAGGGCAGCAAGGGTGATCCGGTGATCAGAAACAAAGCTGTATGAGGAGAGATGGAAAGAACGGGACATGTAATAACAGGTCCTGCCAGACAAACCCTGTGGAAGTCGACGACACGGTTCCGAGGTGGCTGGACGGAGGGCATGCGGTGGGTGTGGTTACCCTGGATCTCAGCAGGGCCTTTGGCAAAGTGCCCCATGATATCCTGGTGGAGAAACTGAGGAGTTTTGGGATAGACCAAAGCACTGTCCAGTGGATTAGGGCACGGCTGACTGACCGAAAGCAGAGGGTAACCATTAGTGGGGAATCATCGGGATGGCGGCCAGTGACAAGCGGGGTCCCCCAGGGCTCTGTCCTGGGGCCGATCCTGTTTAATCTCTTCATCAATGACATGGAAGAAGGGGTGAACCGTCTGCTGATCAAATTCACAGACAATACTAAAACTGGAGCAGTGGCCACAACTGAGGAGCAGGTACTCCAGATCCAAAAGGATCTGGACAGACTATGGAAGTGGGCAGGAGACAACAGGATGGCGTTCAATGTGGATAAATGCAAGGTCTTGCACTTGGGGCATAGGAATGGGTGTCATAAGTACAGGTTAGGGGACAAGTGGCTGGAGAGCAGCACTTGTGAAAGGGACCTCGGGGTGCAGGTTGACTGCAGGCTGAACATGAGTCAGCCGTGTGATGCGGTGGCCAAGAGGGCAAACACCACCCTTGGTTGCATAGCCAGAAGTGTGGCTTCTAGATCAAGAGAGGTATTACTACCACTCTACACGATTCTGGTGCGCCCGCAACTGGAGTATTGTGTTCAGTTTTGGGCCCCTCATTACAGAAAGGATATAGCCAGGTTGGAGTCAGTGCAGTGAAGGGCCACTAGGATGGTGGCCGGTTTGCAGGGGATGCCGTATGAGGTGAGGCTGAGGGAACTGGGTCTCTTCAGCCTGGAGAAGAGGAGACTCAGAGGGGATCTGTTGGCGACATACAGGCATGTGAGGGGGTGTCACGCGGAGGTGGATAGAGACCTGTTCTCCCCTGCAGAGGAGGGCAGGATGCGCTCCAGAGGAGCCAAGCTCAGGGAGCCAAGGCTCCATTTAGATGCCAGGAAGCACTTCCTGACAGTCAGGACCCCGAGGGTGTGGAATGGGCTTCCACGGGAGGCGGTGGAGGCCCCATCAGGGCGGGTGTTCAAGGATAGGCTGGACATGCACATGGTGGGCTTGTTGTGAGCAGAGCCGGCTGGAGCCAGGGGTCAGACTAGATGGCCCGGGAGGCCCCTTCTGGCTCCCTCCCTGTTTCTATGTTTAGCCTCAAAAAGAGAAGACGGAGGGAAGATGTGGTAGCACTCTACAAGTACCTGAAAGGCTGTCACAAAGAGGAAGGACAGGGTTTCTTCTTGATCATCCCGGAGTGCAGGACATGGACTCGAATTATAGGAAGCCATCTAGATTCCAGCTATATATCAGGAACATTTTCCTGAGTGTTAGAGCAGGACAACAATGGAAACAGCTGCCTAGGGAGGTTGTGGGCTCTCCCACACTGGAGGCGTTCAGGATGCAACTACGACAGATGGTTTAACACAGTGTCCTGCACTGAGCAGGGATGGCCTTCTGGCTCCTTCCAACTCTGCTATTCCATGATTCAAACTGCTCTTATGTGCACTAGCATTTAGAATCTGGGTAAACTCCACTGAAATTAAACAGTTTGCCTATTGTCTCTGAAATGACTTGACAAATATCAAACACATCTGTTGAGACATCTCAGCTCCTCTGCCAGAAACAGAACACAGTTTTGCTTACCTATTATTATTTACGTCATCAATAGCACTTTGCTAAGAAATAAAACAAAGTGAGAAAACAAATCTTTGCCTAAAATTCTTGCTTGCAGTACACTGCTAAGGAACCTAATGTTGAACAGGGTCCTACAATTCTATAAGGTGTCTCTTATTCCTTATACAATTTAAAAATTAAAAGAAAATTTAAATGAGCAAGCATTTCTGTAATGCCTGGCTCAATTATTTTCAGGTACCAGTTTAAGAACTTAAAGAGAGCTTCAGCTAAGAGGCGGTATGGAAACAAAATAATAAATAGGTAACTGTCAATTGTTGCATCAGAAAACACTCATCAAAAGCAAGATCATGTCCATATTTTATTATAGTATTCAGGTGAGAACCAAAATGGTATTGAACCTGGACAATGGGAGAGTTGGAATGATGCCTCTGTGTGAAGCCCACCAGGCGGGTCTTGGACCAGTCACCGCTACCCTAAGCCACTCTTACGGGGTGGCTGTGAGGGGAAGACCAGGAGGGGAAACACATGCCTGCTGCCCGGGCCTCTCTGGGGATGTGATATCATAACAAGTCCACCCTCAACGCAACACAAGAAATACGGAATTTTTCAGATAAAATGTGTCTTGCTTTAGAACTATAGAAATTAAGATGGATGGATGGATGGATGGAGGGGTAGATGGGGTTATATTTGCCTGGTGTGTTCAGAGCTCTGGGGCCGTGTGTGGCTTGTTTTCACATTTCTCCTTGCCACCCCACAGTTCTGCTCCAGGCCCGGCATACGGTCAGCCATTGCAGTTTAACAATGATTTAATGCACTCGGATGGCTCGCCTGACCTCAGTGAGGGCCAGATCACGTGACGGCAGCGTGTCTTGTGCTAGGGGCACGTAATATTTAGTGTAGCTTGCAAACGGTATTTAGGGAGGGCAGTGCCCCCTGGATCACTGCGTTCTCTGACACCACTTACCTGTCTTCATGTGACTCTGCAGTCGATAGTTGCCAGGGCTGAAATGCGTTTCTTTGAGGAACATGAGGAGAAACACAGCAGGGAGAGGGGGCTTCGCCCCCTGTGCGCACATTTGCGGTGCGCTGGGCAGGGATCTGTGAGCACCTCGTGACGTTTGTTCGCTCGTTTCTACCCTTTCCCTTTTCTGCCAGGATCCCATGGTCAGGCGTTCCGTCGTCATGAGCAGCTCGGTTATGCATGGCAACCTTTCCCTCATCTGCTATAACGTCTTCCTTCGGATGTGCAAGGCCCATGGGATCGGATATGACGTCCAGGTGGGAAGGCTGTGTGTCTTACACCAAAATGACCCCGAGAAAGGAAATCGGCAGCGATGCGAAGAGTTCCCTTTCTTTGATTCACATGTCTGTGCTGCCTGGCGCTGGCGCTCACAAAACAGAATGCCGAGCGCATCCAGCCAGGTGCTTCTCACTGTCTTGGGACCTAACGAAGCATCGTGCCTGCGCTGCAGAAGCGGGCCTGCTGCAGAAGAGCACTGCAAGCCCCACTGAATGGAGCCGCTTGGGAAGAGGACTAGCGCGCCAATATTTTCTTGACTGGCCAAGGGAGTGTTTGTCGCGCCACATTTTGGGCCCCCGATTCATGTGAATGTGCCTGTGACTTCTGTGATTGTCACGTAAGGATGCAGGTCTGTGATCAGAAAGCCGGCTGTGGAGGAGGAGAGTGGGGCCTTGGCTGCACGGACACCTTCCACAGCTCCTGCACACTCTTTTTAGGTCGCCGACTACCCACTTTTGATACTAGACTAGCGGCATTGGCCTTCTCAGCCCTGATCTTACATGAAATGGCCTTCTCCTTCTCCTTTTTCCTTTAAATTACTTCTCTTTGATTTCCACAATCCCCCAACAAAACCAAAGGTCAGCAAAAAAACCACAGAATACGAAGCAAGAGTAGAATCATAAACACACACAGAACAAAGGGGGAAGACAAAAACACAAAACAGCAACAACAACCATACCATACAGCCACACAGTAACGATCAGCAATACATTGAACTCGTCTGGAAAGTTTTCCTAATAATATATTTGCCTTTGTATACATGCCATGTGCACACAAATATTAAGAGTTCGGTTTCCACTTCACCGATACAGGTTGAGGTGGGCTGACCAGATACCAGAATGAGTGTTGGGACAAAGTGGCCTCCTTTAATGCTGCTTATCTCCCCCATGCTAAATGGTCTAACATCTTATTTCATTAAAGTTATTTTTAAAACAACTAGGCAGTTATATGTAAGCCTGATTTTTTATAATTATCAGGTAGTTAGCATGCAAATTCTAACATCTTTTTTCTCTCTCAACAGCAGAAAGAAGGCACCGTTTTTCTAATGCTTGAAGATCAGAAGAGACACACATTTGGAATGTTGTAAGTATGCAAAAGACACGTTAAACGGCCCGTCCCTTGAAGCCACTCTCGCGTCACACGCTGCCTCGCTGCTGAGGTTCTGCTTTCCGTGCCCAAGTGCTTCTGAGAAGGGGGGGGCGTTGAAGTGAGCTGCAGGCGGGACCCTGTGGCAGAAACAGCGGCAGGGTTGCACTGGCTCGCAGTGAAGGGGCTGCTGCCGTCGCTGTTCGTGAGAGCGCAGCTCGGCACGGGCACGGGGGCCTTCGTGCAAAGGCGCCCAGGAGGGAACCCCCCCTGGGCACGCTTCCCCCGCAGTGATGCCCAGCTCACTGGCATGCCGCCCTCTGCACAGGTCACCGCCATTCTGTCCCGGACTTCTTCAGGCCTCTTAGCCGTGTCGTGCGCTCCTGGCAGGAGACGTTTGTGCATGCTAAACTTGTGAGACCGCCCTGCGGCGCATGGGGGGGGCGGGGAGTGGCACCAGTGTGCTGAGGGCGAGGGGTGGAGCTGCCGGAGGAGGGCTCCCCCCACAAGCCGATCGACTTGCTTGCCCCCCTCAACCCTCCTCCCGACCTGTCTGGTGAGCTGGAGAGCAGGCGCTTCTTCAGCCCTCCCCTCCCCTCCCCTCCCTGACAGAGCTCTCTCTGCCCTTGTCTCCTGCCTCCTCTTGCCACCAGGAACAAATTGCCACACTGCTTGTCTGCTCAGAAATAAATCACATCCTTTCCGAGGGCCTTCTCAGAAGTAATCACACTGGTTCTGACAGTGCTTGCTTGTGGGGATGCCAGCGCTGAAGAGGGGCTCGCTTGCTTTGGGCTGGGGAGGAAAGGGGCATCGGTCCTGCTGACTTCGCCCCGTCAGAGGGCAGGGAGCAGCCCCACCACCTCCCCATGCTTCTCTTTTTTAAGCTCATTGAATTAGCTCAGTCCCCACTGGCTGCAGTGGGACTGGGAAAGGGCAAATTCCCAGTTGGAAGCTGTGGGGTCATCAGAGCCTCAGGGGTCTCCCCTACCACTGATCGAATCTGGTCACATCTTCGAAGCCCAACCTGGTTTTAAAAAGGCAGCGGTCTTTTGCTCAGAATGGCTAAACCCCATACTTTCCTCAGCTACTTGATTAATAAAAATTATTTATTACACAAATCCTTTTTACTGACAAGTTAAAATGGAGCCCCATCTTTCATATCTCCCTGAAGATTGCCACCTTACGAGATTGAAAATACTCATTAAATTCTACTGTCTGACAAGCCCAAATGAGAGGGCGATTGTTTCTAAGCATGCGAATGGAATCATTGGCAAAGTCATTTGTTTGGATATCATTAACAGAACAATTGGAGAACATCTCCAGGGGGTCCTCATGACCTTTGCTCAGCATCTCTTCATCATCTATCAAGAATTATCAGCACCTAATATGCATGCCGAGACCAATTTTAAGGTGAGGTGTTAATTAACTAACGATTCCAGTTAAATTTCTGTTGGAGGACAGAAAACACCTCATGCTGTATTATAAACGAGTGCTAAACCATCCCAGGTTCTGTCCTTAGCGGTACATATTTTATAGCGTGCAGGTCAATATTGTGAGATTCCCAGAGAATCTGTTAGTTAAATTTAAGAGTTTTAGATGTGGCAACATAGATTTGCTTCAGCTGGAAAGCCGCAGACTCGTTTGAAGGGAAGTCCTCGCTGGAATGGGATGGTGAACTTCAATGGGGATTTGGTTTTCATCTCAGATTCATCCCTTCGTGGAGCTGCTAATTGGAGAGGCAGGACACTCTTCGTGCTCTCCTCCCTAAAGCCTGCTCATTGATTTATTAAAGGAAACTGTTGAGAGATTAAAACGTGCACAATAAGAGCGGACAAATAAACAAGTGTGATTATTTTCCAAGATCTAGTTACAGGCCACAGCTTGTGAACTCCGGGGGCCATACTGGCATCCTCCCTGTGGCGTAAGGCAAGGATCAACCCATGGCCTGTGAAGGCAGTTCAGAGATGACCAGGTTCCAAGCCGTCCTCGGCCAGGAAAGGGCTGTGATGTGGCCCTAGGGGTGGATGTGGCTCCCCCCACGGCCCACCCGGCATCGCTGCTCACTGAGGAGCCCTGGCATTAGGAGTGGGAACAAAGCAGCTGCCTCACCTCGTCAGCGCTGGAAGCTGCTGCCTCGCATTTCCCCGGAGACGCCCGGGCCACATCACAGCCCTTTCCTGCCCTTTCTTGGAGCCGCTTCTAGGAGCTGGTGGCCCACAGTTGTGCTTGTCCCCAAAGTGCTGCTGCTGACGGGGGAAATGGGGAAGCACCGGTAGCCACAGTGCTTCCTTGGGTCAAAGGGCCCTGAAGCGGGTTAGGCAGAGGCCCTGGGTCAGCGTGATGGGGCACCCCAAGCTTGGTGCTGGGCCTGGCGCCCGCCCTGAGGAACATCCTGCAAGGATTCCATCATAAAAACGGTCACATAGTTGGTATCTGGTGCCAAAAGCATCTGCGGAGGAAGAAGCCTGGCCATAAGCTAAATCTTAGGGGTAGAGTCTCATGGGATGTTGCACCCATAGGCGTCTAGAGGTGAAGCTCCCAGCCATGCTGAGATGCTAAGCAATGAGCTATTTGAGCCATGCACCTTTCCAAAATCACATTGCTTTGGAGGAGCCAAGGAAGCGTGTCCGTATTTGAAGCAGTTGCAATTAAATAATTCTGATGGGAATGTAATTTTGGCCGTAATCCCAGGTGAGGATGGTGACTGAATCCGGCGTGGCCTCTTAAGCACTGGAGCTTTATAGGAAACCCCCGTTCTAGTGAAGCTACTTTGGGGCTGGAGGTCAGCACCACAGATGGCTTCTATACTGCTCTGCAGTATAGAAGCCATGGATGAAGAGTCCAGACTTACCCTGCTAACACCTCCCTGCAGACGCTGTTTCCTTCAGCCCTTGGCTGAGAATGTTTGGTTCTGCTCCATTACCTGTGTGGTGACATGGACCATCTGCCACACTAAGTTGGCCTCTCCTAGAAAGGTTCCGGGAATTACAGGTGGAACAGTGCAAATGGGAGGGACACCTTGCAGCACAAACAACTGTTCTACCACTTACCTTTGTGGCTTTTGCTGCAGGGAGCAGTCCAAGATATTGAAAGAATTTTGGGAGTTACGGAACAAAACAAGTTGAAGTTTGAAGAGGATAAGCAGGCACAAGCTTCCGCACAATAGTTTGTATGCTCTGCCTCCCGGCCTGTGCTCCCAAGTAACTGTAAGTAGCCTTGGAGTCTTACTCTTTAGTAAATGATCTCGCAGCAGTGGCTTGCCTTATCTACCCAAAAGAGCAGTTCCAAAATCTGGATCTGAAAGAAACCTGCCAACCAAAAGGAAA